GGGGGTCGGGGCCCCGGGGCAGAGGCGCCGGGCGGGCGGCAGCCGGGACGGCGGGGCTCCTCGGGCCGCCTCCCCCGGCCGCTCCCACTCATCGGTTCAGGGTCGCCTCCGTCCGTGTTGGCCGCACAGCTCTTCCGAGCGCGGAGCTGCTCGTCTCTGCCTTCAGCCTCCTTGACTCCTTTGAACTTGGTACACGTTTGGAAAAGCCTTTATGAAAAACCCTCCTTGCTCTGATGAGTGTGGTCCTCACTCTGAAAAGAAAAAGGAAACCAGAAGTAAGGACGTTGGTTTATTTACCACAGCCGGCTATTAGTAGCACCTTTGTCCCAGTTTTATGTACTCAGTTGGGATATAAATTGACGTTAACCCATTTCTTCTCCGAAACATGAGTCTGAGGGACATCGCTGTTGACTCATTTTCGTCCCCAGACACGGTAGATCTGATGAGATAGTGCGAAGAAGGGACAAATCGCGGTTTCTCTTATTGTGTACTTTTGATTTTTGCCCTGTTCTGGGACCACCTAACAAGGTTCCCAGAACGTGCTGAACAGGGAATAAACACATTTTCAACATAGCTCTTTATCTTACTGCTTATTGCAAGTATACCGGAGTCTAAGTTTGAAATAATTTAGCCGTTTCCTGAACTGTGGTCTGTAAAGCAGCTGTCAGTTTGCGATCAAATTTTCAGAAATTTTGACTTACAAGATCAGCCTGAAAGTCTGACTAAAACTGAAAGAGCCCCTTTTAATAGTGCGGCTTACTACGTGACTTGCATAAAAATTTTTCCTTTTCTGTTTAATTTGTCGGTCTGCTGAGAGTGCAACCACCTTTCCGTGAGGTAAATATAAATCTAGGTGCACAATGAAAGGTGAAGTATGAAAATTGTATTGGATTACGTTAATAACTAATGTTTTCTGGTTTTTCCCTTTGGGTACATTTTTCTCCTAGTTTTGATCCCCTTTTGGATAACAAGCTGCTTTCCTTAAGTCAGAGTAGTCTTTAAATCTTTGAACTTAAAATAATGTTTCCCCTAAAGGGAGGCAAATTGCAAACAGTATTTTGGCCAATGAATGTTAAGTATTAAAAAAACTGATGTTTAAGGAACTACTTACTGATCCAAACATAACTTTTAAAAAGATATTTGAATGTGTTTGATCCTGGATGAGTAAACACTGAAAGTATTGTCTTATAGTATTGATAATTAAAACGTTTTTGGTGAATTTGTAAATAGATCAATGTAAGTAAGTAAGCAAATGCTTTCCCAGTGACTTGCTGGTCAATCTGGAATTGTGTTGGTGAGTGTGAAGTTGTAATTACACTGATGTTTTGTGTACATATTTTGTAAGAATATATGAATAAATTTTTACTGGATATATAAACACAGAGGAGCTCTTTAGTCTCTTTGTTTTCGCATTGTCTGGGAAGGTTCATGAAATTTGCTTCCACTGATGAATTTAACAAACTCCATAGACCAGTTTCCTACTGAGGAGAGTCATTGCATGATTAAAATATGAAATATTTTTCATAGTATGGTCATTTCATGGAAAGTAGGGAAGAGTTTCAGATTATTAACATACCTAAGAAATCCTCACTGATTCTTTACCAGCGTAGACATATATTTCTGATCTTGTTTTCCCCAACTTGATATTCTCTACAAGTAAGAATTGGGCCAAAAAATTAAACCAGGTTTACTGGTGAAGTGGGTAGTCTGTTGGACAGTGCTCAAATGTCCTGTTCCATTTAGATAGACTTTTAAAAATAAAACTGAACAATGCAGACAGTTAACAGCTAAACCATTGATATTTTGACTTGCAGTCAAATTGGTCATTAAGGAAATAAGCCTGAAATGTCTTTGAATTCTGTTATTTATACTTTATTGAACTGATAGATTCATATGTAAAAATTAACTTTGAGAAAGGTTATTATTGTACATTGTATGTGATTTCAATATTATCAATATAGAGATATGCACTTATGGATTATAAAAATATAGATTTCAGGGAAAGCGTTTCTTACCCATTTCATGTAGGTAGAAATAAACATTTAAAATCATTTTGTTAATTTCCTTTTAAAAATACATAAGATATTTAAAATACTTTTACCATAGGAACTTCACAATAAAGAGTGCACTGTTTTTAAGAGTAAATGTTTTCATTCATGGGTTTCCTTTTTTGATGCTCTAGGATATCTGGTAGAGAATAAGGGAGAATGAAGAACAAAACCTAAGGAGAACATTAGTGGGAATTTATATTGATATAAGTCATGAAGACACCTTGAGTCTTATTGGTATAATTCAGTTATAGCAAAGTTTAAAAAATAAAATATTTTGCACATTTTTTCACTGGCCTTCCCAGGAGTGTTGGAGGCAATTACTGACAAGGTGTATGTGAAACAATTTTGATGAAAAGCATAGGCTAGGAAGATATATCGGAGTTTTGCTTAAAGACTGGTTAAATAACTGCCTCCTTAGTTGAGAAGAATGTTTGTCTCCAAGAAAATCTTACTAGCAATTCTGTGAGGCTGTTTTGAAACCTCCCAGTTCTCCTGAAATAGGAAACATCTTCATGCATATTTTCTGAATGTGTACAACAAGACTAGTTAAATGTTAAAATCCTGTGAAATTTTAACAGTGGGGCTCATGTGATTCTAATGTATTACTTTGAGATTTTCACAAAATAAACTCAAGTTTCTTTAGCATTATCTTAGTGAAGCTTTTTTTTTTAACTCAGCTGACTTAAAAAAGGATCATCCTAATCAGAATGTCAAATGGCATAGTTTTGTTCATAATCTCAAACAGTCTAAGTTTTTATGCTAGCATTGATTATGATGAAAGCTTCCAGCTCTGGAATTAGAGCAACTATATCATGATAAAGACTTATATTACTGTATATAGATGCATAAGATGCTTTTGCCACTTTTAAAAAATTGATGGAGAAGTATAACTTTTTTAGGCATGTTTCTACACCCCAAAAGATACCAGTGTTGTCCTACACAAGATAGGACCAATCTAGGTAAGTATAATGCTGAAATTAATTTCTTTGCACGTCAGGTAATTCAAGTGTCTTATCTACTCTTTCCCAAATTTACAAGGTTGTAGTCAATGCAGTTGTACTTTATTTGTAGATAAGTGTTTTAACATGTATTTAAAGTGCAATAATGAAGCATGGAAAAGCAAAACCCTACAGTGACTCTCAAATAACTCCCCAAAAAGTTTTAAATTTTGTTTCCCTTCAAAAAGTAGTGGTGGTGTGGGGAGAGGGTGCTTGGAGAGGTAGAGCGGATTGGCCATGATTATTGGAATTTAATTTTCATTTCCTCCCTAGCAGCCCATTCTGCTGATCATCAACTGTGAAGTAGCCAAAAGCGGGCACCAGATGGGAAGTGAATTGAAACAGAGATGTTTGAATAGTAGTTAATCCTTTGGTGATTTTAGAAAAGAGTTAAGACTTCTTAAATAATAACAGGTATCTGAAGCAATTAAATTGGAGTGGAGTTGAATCTGTACTAGAAAGCTGCTTGATTTTATGTATGAGTCATGTTCAAAATAGTAAAGACATTATTTACAAGTGTTTCAAGTAACGTTACAAGTACTGCTCCTGGCTACTTTTAACACAAAAGTGTTGATTGTTACTTGACAGTTATGCTAATTTTGCTTCACAAAGATTACAAAACTTTAGAAGTGGTGTAATTTCCTCTTACTATAGTCTCCCTTTGTTTCTCCTGTACTCGTCTCCTTGCGTAAAAATGCGGAGGCTAATCCCTGTGTACTTCAGGCATATGGCTCTTCAGAATTACTTCTCTCTTCTAGCTACCTGCGTTTCTCCCAGGCTTCTAATCGACTTAGTTGAGAAGGACTAGCTTTACAATATGAGCTACATATTCTTCCTTTGTCCTTCAAACCTTACTTGCTGTTATTACTTAAATCATAGTTAACCTGTGGAGATCTACTTTCCCAAAGAACTAAAACCTCACTTCATTCCAGAACCAAAGAAACAGATGGTGCTTTTCTGTGTTTTCTCTTCCTGCTTCCATAAGACGTGTACTGACTTTTATTCCACATTCTTTTTACAAGTGTCTTTATAAAGAACTTTACATTTTTGTAATATTTCCCCAATATTTTATTTTTCCCTCAACTGTAATATCTAGCCCAGAAGCAGGATTTTTTAAAAAGCAACCTGCCTTTATTTTATTGTCTTTCCAAAGCATTCACTTAGTGTCATAGGAACAGCTATCTTTTAAAACCATTTTATCTATTTAGTAATTAGATCTGACATGCTATTTAACGGAATTCCAAATTGCAACAGTAAATATGGCTAGCATAATCAAGTTTGGTGATAAATACAACTAACTTGGTAAACAGATACCCCACTGGAAGGAGAAGTGCTTGGGCATGCGGTAGGCATTAGCTAAACAGAAGGTCTTACAGAAGGAATAGAGAAGAGTGGTTAAGACAGAGAGTTGGTTGATGAGGTGGATGTTGGTTAAGTAAGCTTTTATATTCTTATAAAGTTGCCCAAGAAGTTTGATTTATATACCTAATTTTTCTAGAAAGTTAAAATAGTAATGTAATTAAGCACAGCAGAGTTGATGTTAAGAGTTTTGTAAGTGCTATCTTTAATCAGCATATTTAAAATATCTGTATAGAAAGCTATTACATTAAGGGATACTTAATAGCATTGAAATTGATTAACACTGTTATGCCAGAGGGTGAATAGAATAAGATGCTGGTGAAGAGTAAGGTGAAAGCCAAATATTTTTGTAGTTAAAACTGATGTATAATAGAAAGTTTTTATCAGTATGATGGATTTCTTCCAAATACAGCACAGCAATCCATATGTAGGCAAAATAATTTTTACTCATTTTCCTCTCTTTGTATAAGGTATTTGCTTACAATAAACTAGTCTAAAATATACCTCTCTGCTCTAAAAATTAAGCTTCCTTGGAAATAGGACTTTAAAATTATTTTTGTAGAATATTGGTAGCATACAGGACATTACATCAGTATCCTCTGATTTTAGGCATTAAGGAGATCAGCTTAAAAACTATAACCTCAGGCTGTATCATGCAACATGATGATGCATTCAAGGGGTATGTTTTAGCCTAAATAGAATACATATTGTATTAAGCCCATCATAAGAATATACTAGACATTTGAACTCTTAACCATTCAGGTGTTTGTATATGTGCAGGTGGAGGATGCTAGAGTCAACCTTATTTACCCACTAAGAGCATGTTCTAGATCAGGGGTCGGCAAACTTTTGAGACAGAAGAGCCGCCAGAGGTCAGCAAACTGCGGCTCACAAGCCACATGCGGCTCTTTGGGTGCGTACCTGTGGCTCTGAAGTAAAATTGAAAATGAAAATAAACTTAGTTTCATTTATAAAATTTTTAAAGGATATTATTCACATAATGGTGATTATGTAAAAATATATTTATGGCTCTTGAATAATTTTTAAATTGTTGTGAGGGACAGGATTAGCTCTTCCAGGAGTTGGCAAACTTTTGAGACGGAACACACCCAAAGAGCTGCATGTGGCTTGTGAGCCGCAGTTTGCTGACCCCTGTTCTAGGGCATTAAAACAGGTTTGGGATGAGATCAACAGTTTAAAAAGCAACTGAGTTTCTCAAAGTATGCATAGTATACTGCAGTAAAATGGGACCTCCTGCTTTCCAAATCGACACAAGGTAAATTCTGAACCTGGGAAATTGGTATAATAGAAATTGGTACAATACATTAAAATTCAAACACTTGTACAACAAGCTTTATTAAGCCTCTACCAAGTACCTCAAATTATAATGCTCCAAACTTTGGGTATCTATTAATAAGGCAAGGGGGGAATCATTGGAGAAATTTTTTTTTTTTTTTTTTTTTTTCTGCCACGTGTTGGCAGCTCAGCGGCAGCTCAGCTTGGGCTGGAAATTGAACCGCTGTTGCTCAGAGCTCAAACTCTTGAGCGAGCTCTTAACCAAATGAGCCACTTGGCCAGCCCATATTGGAGGATTTTTGAATGAGGAAACAGCATTTTTGAGTTTGCATTTCCAATAGTGTTGTGTTCTAATGGAGTGGATTATGGTGGATTACAAAGGTTTGAGTGAGGTGAAGTAGTTATAAGGAGAGGCTTGTTATTACTTACAGGGAGGCTGTTAACTGCTTTAATCATGTCAAGAAATGATCAGTTTCAGGACTAAAGCAGTAGCAGAGAGGATAGAGAAAATGGAGCAGTTGAGATATTTAGAAAATAAAATCAATGAGGCTAATTAAGCTCGTGGTCCTGGCCTGTATTCCAGGCACAATTAGACCTTTTTCATTTATTATTACATTTCCTCCTCAAAACAAGATTGTCATAATCTCCATTTGACAGATAGAGGGTGCTTGTAGAAATTAAATAATTGTTTAAGATCACACAGCTAATAAGTGATAAAACTCAGGTTAACACCCAGATTAACCTCTAATGCCAGTGCTTTTTTTATATGACACGTCTATGCTACCACCACTAGACCATGTTGCCTCCTCAGGAGCTTGGGGACCAGGGCAGTACGGAATGAAGGCAAAGGTGGACTCCCAGATAGGGTGTCTGGGTCAGGTGATGCCAGTCACTGAAATAAGAGTACAGCAAAAGGAGAGATACAGAGCGAGACAGCTGAGGTTAGGTTTTGAACATCTTGGGCTTGAGGATCTGTGAGCAATCCATGAAAAGACATCTAACCGTCTAATGAAAGGGCTTGAGCTCAGGAGAGAGCAATCTGGGCTGCAGGTGAGATTTGAGACTCATCAGGTGAGGATGAAATAGCCTAGGGCAAACGTGGAGGCTACTTTTGTGACTGGAATCCTGGGATACCAACCTTTTAAAAGAAAGGACCAAAGAAGACAGAACAAAGGACTGGATAATTTGGAAGAAGAGCATGAAAGTGGTGTCATTAAGAGTTCAAAGAGGAAGAAATTTGGAGAGTAGGAAATGCTGTAGGGATGTTAAGATGGAGATTAAGAAGCATCCTTTTGATGTTGCAAGCAGGTAATGACTCAGTGATGAATTCATAGTACTTGGAATAAAATAATTCTCTGATAATCCTGAGTCAGGATCTGGTTTACCTGATGGTCATCCTGATATGAGGCTAGTCGTCTTCTCTGTTGCCATCCTGTGGCCCTGGTGGTAAGAAGCTGGTACTTTGTTCAGTGCTGCTTGACTCAGAATAGAAAACGGGTGTCTTTCCTGACTCCACTAAATATACCTTTTTCTACTTTTTGAATTTTGAACCATAAGAATGTGTTACTTATTCAAAAATTAAAAGTATTACCAAGAGAAATATAGGAATGAGCAGTTACTTCTCATATGGTGCCATGATCATTATTCAAATAATATCGTTATTCTTTGTTTAAATGTCTGTCTCCCTGATTAGATTGCAAGCTCCTGGAAAGCAGGGACATTTTAGTATCTGAGTCTTCTGTACCTAGCACAAAGGCCTAGCATATCATGGATGCCAATCACTGTTTAATAAATAAATGGTCCTTTCTGTCTTGGTTACACAATTTTTATGGAAGATAAGATGTCCCTATGTAAAATGATAGCATAATATACACAGAATAGGTTTAATCTAAATGAGTGGCACCATTCTTGCTTTTTGTTCATGTTGTAGGCAGCCTGGATCAAATGCCCCACCATCTCTTGTCGTCCCTTGGCCTGGGCAGCGGGGGCATATGGTAGCAGCAATAACCATTGCCTTAGTCCCCTTAGTGAGGTGTGGCAAACTAAGTTTCAAAATTGACTAGGAAGGTGTGACACCATTTTAGAGAGGACCACTTAGGGAACCCTGAAGGCAGCATGTCTGTTGCTATATGTGTACCTAGAGGGTACTTCTGGATGTGCACGTTGGGCCTTTCCAACCTAAGGGCTCCCAGAATCCTTTGTCTTTTTCTTTGCTAATTTTACATCATCAGCATGTCGAATGCGTATTTTATTTATTTATTTATTTATTTATTAATTGGGGAGGGGGACCAGCCAAGTTGTTCTTCAGTCTTCGTTGTGGAGGGCACCAGTCGCCATCTGACTGCCTGTTGGCAGCTCATGTCCTCTAAGCTCAAGGTGCTGTGTTCAATCTTAGTTGCGGGTGGGCGTAGCCACCATCCCATGTGGGAGTCTAACCAGCAACCTTGTTGTTGAACGAGCGCTCTATCCACTGAACCATCTGGGTGGCAGCTCAGCTCAAGGTGCTGAGTTCAGTCTTAGTTGCAGTTGGGTGTAGCCCACCATCGAACAGGCAGTCTTTTTTGTTTTTGTTATTTGTTAGTTTTTTTAGCTGAGCCATCTTGCCACCTGTTGGCAGTTGTCGGCAGCTCAGCTTGGGCCAAGATCAGCTTGGGGCCAAGAATAGAACCCGGCGACCTTGTTTCTCTGAACTCACACTCTTGAGTGAGCCCTTAACCAATTGAGAACAGGCAGTTTTGTTGTTAGGAACACGTGCTCTCACCAGCTGAGCCATCCTGCCACCTGCAGCTCGGCTCAGGTGCAGCGTCACTGGCCCATGTAGGAATCAAACCGGTGGCCCTGTTGATCAGAGCTCGCGCTCTTAAGCTAATTCTTAACCAACTGAGCCACTCAACTGGCCCCCAAATGCATATTTTAAAAAGATACTAGTAAAAAAAAAATTGGGTTTAATTGATAGAGTGTCTAAAACAGATTTTTTAGTAAGTTGAAAGCTATCGGAAGGAAAGCTATCGGAAGGAACATTTAAATGAACTGTTAATATTTTGTTTGGAGTTAAAATTCTTTGGCAAAACCCAGTTCCAAATTTAAGGTAAATAAAAAACGGTTCACAAATTTGTTGCAGTGGAGTGAAATTTAAGAAAATGATAAATTCATTCAGTTTATTAAGTGATTAATATCATTTTTAAAATAGAGCAGATACCTATGAGCAATATATAGTGTATATTAAATGATTTAGATAACACTGCTTTCTCTTCTATAGAAAAGAATCTGACAAATAGCACATGATTTGAGTTTTTTTGAATTTTTTTTCTAGGAAGGTCATAAAATTGAATAGAAGTAAGAGTGAAAAAATATTGAATTGTTTTCAGCTTTCTATTCTTTTTTTCTGTTTTATAGAAATTAGAGTATTTTTCTGATGTACTTTTGAGAGATTTTAATTTTTTAAAACTAAAATGTTATGATTTCCAAATTCAACATTATAATTTTACTGCAGGATAAATAAAGAAGAAAACGAGGAAGCAGCAAAGCATTGATTATAAATGTCTTAATAATGAGCAAATGTGGCAGGAAAAAATATATTAGGACAAATCTAAGGTAGGTGGATATATGTTTTTCTGTCTTTCTGAAAATTCTACTTAGAGTGCTTAAAGTTAAAATTATGGATAAGTTAATGTAGATATGTATGTACACACATACATGTGTATGTATGTATATGTTATAGTAAAATATAATCATGTATCCAAATTATTTAGCTATTCAATTAAGAAATTCACCTTCTACCACGTACTGTGCTAGACTCTATGGGGATATGGACATGCACATTCAACTTATGCTAAGTGCTGGCCTCTTCAGTTAGAAAGGAGACTATCTATAAAGATATGGGCAGAGTTTTTCTTTTCCTCCCTCCTTGCCTTAAGGCTGGCTATACTTGTACCTAACCGTTGTAAAACAAGAAAGTCTCTAACAGTGTTTTACAGAAATCCATACAGAATTTTTCCAGTTTTCTTTTGGTTGCTTTCAGAGACATTTTGGTTCATCAGTTGGCTCTAGGTTTAAAAAGAAAATAAAGTTTCTATGACCTTTTTTGTAAAACTATTTAAAAATGGAGACTAGAAACAACTTTAATAATTTTTTTTTTCCAGCTAGATTCTTTTTAAGAGGTGAAAAGAATTTTACAACGGTAAGGCTCGGCAGTGTAATTTGTCTTGGCAAAGTGGCTACAACTAAGATTTTAGAAGTCTATTAGTTAATTGAACATTTTAATTATAATTATAATGCTGCCTTTGTCTTATATTTTTGGCCTGTATTTCCCTTCCCCTTCTTTGTTCCTATCTTCTCTTTTAAGAACACTTTCCTGGGTACCTATGATAACATTTCTTTAGTATGTTTTTCCTTTTTCTTCTCATTTTGCCTTCTACTTAACGTATCTTGTGTGTTCTCAGTACATAGGTATGCCTAAATAACTTTGGTCATTAATTACCTCAGTATTTCTATAATTGTAAATCTAACTTCTAAGAATATATTCCTTTGTATTCACTTCTTGAAAGTATATTATTGGTTGTCTACTTATTGTTTGTGTTGTACTGTAAGAACAGTACTGCACTGTTGTACTTCAGTATTTTGGGGAGTAATTGCAGTATAATAGATGTTTTATTAACGTTCTAGAAAATAACAGTAAGCAAACAAATATAATTCTGCCCCCCCAAAAGTAGTTCACCCGAGAAATCTTCGAAAGCTGTACTAATGGATGGATCCTATTCATTTAAAACAATAGTTATATTAACATTTTGTTAAACTGAATCCAGATATATTCTGAACATATTGAGATAACGTTTACTTTTCTATCAAAGAAGAAAATGAATTTGCTAAATAATAAAAAGATTTCAGGTAAAATATTTAATCTTCATAGGAAAATAATATTGCTCTTACTATTAATCATAAGTTTAAATATACCCATTTTAGCAAATCCTTATCTGTTTAGAATTGCGGAACTGAATATTTGCCACTATTTTGCTTGCTATTAGTTTATATATAGTGCTTAATGGACTTTTGTTTGTTTTAGTTTTTTATTATTTCATTTTATGTTTTTATAGCTATTCCTTAATTTATAATTACTAATTGGCCTTTTCTCTCTAATAAGGATTATTGTTTAAGATTATAATACTATATAATTTCTTAATTTATAGATTATTCCATTAATTTAGTATACTATGTTTAATATTTGATAGTTATAGAAAGTGAGACTTGGGGGGAAATATTTTATAATATGTCTCTCCCATTTTAGCTATAAAATATATAGTGAACAATGAACAATTATAAGGGATCCTTCTCTTACACTTTATAAATAAATTCTCTGGACTACCTGAGGCTGGTATACAGATCTTAGTGTTATGTGTACATCATTTACAGCTGAGTTCCGGGTCTATACATCCTGCTGAGATAGTGTTTGAAAATGCCCAGTACAGTGTATGACCCATGCTGAGCACTTACATGTTAGTTGAATCATTTTCCCTGAGTCCTGTCCTGGGGTTGGTTTTTAGTGGGTTTAGGAGGTTATACTAGAGAACGGTTAGATGTAGATCAGCAGAATAAACTTGTTTGAAAATGATAGGGTATTTATTTTAAATTGATAGTGCTGAATTTACTCTTCTGTAGATTATTTTTACCATCAAATAAATTGATTTTAATATCAAACATTTAATGAGTGACATGTACTGGACACTATACTAGGCACTATAGAAGAATTCAAGTGGGATAAAATTGGATTGTCTACATCCAAAAGACAAAGTCTATCTGAATGCAGATTGTGACAACAATTGCAGCATACTCAGAAGCATGTCATTGTAAAATGTTATCTAAACTGGGTACGGAAAGAACCCTGGAATGATATTCACAAGACCTCTTGTTCACTCTTCATCGTGCTATTATGTGCCCTGTTGAAAGTCACTTAATCTCTCTGAACCTTATTTTTCTGTCATTTTGGTAACATCTGACAGATGTGTATTTGAAAAAAACGGCTTATAAGGAGGCCGATTGCAGAGTGTGGAAAGGAATGGAGTGACTGGAGATGAGGTTGTAAAAATAAAGTGGGGTCATGTTGTGAAAAAGATTGAACGGCATTTTGGCTTGATACATTAGTTCAAACCCTGGCTATGCCACTCTGTACCTTTGTGGTAAGATCAGATTCTTAACCTCCTTATGCCTCCTTTTCCCTATTTCCAAAAGAGCTAACTATATTGACCCTATAAAGTTAAGGATTAAAACTAGTAGGCATTTCTCACATGGGAAGCACTTAAAAAATGGTAGTTGTACTTATGATAATTCTAAGAAGTTTAGATTTTTATCCTACAGTCAGCAGGGGGCTACTGCAGAGTTTTGATTGGAGAAGTGTTTTAAACAGAAATACGTGTTTTAGAAATGTTGGCATATGTTAGAATAAGGGAGATGGAGTGGTGGCAGAGAAGGAGACTAAACTGTTCTTTAGAAGATGGAATCATAATGGGAACAGAAGATGATCATGATGCTGTGGGAGATGAAAGAGACAGTTTCAGGGATGACACCCAGGTTTCCACTTGAGCAACTGGATGGGTGGTGGGCCCCAATTTCCAGAGATAAGAATCCCAGAGAAAGAACGTGTTTGTGGAGGAAGAAAAAGAGTTCCTCTTTAGACCCACTGAGTTTGAGGTCTCTGCAGGACATCCACCTGGAGATGTTAAAGTGGCAATTGGAAGACATGATTTTATGATTCAAGAGAGACCTCTGGACTAGAGATCTAGACTTGAGAGCCATAAGCTTAAAGCTAGCGTTTGAATATAGAGAAATGGATGATATTACACAGAGGGAGGCGAGAAGGCGAACAGAGCCCTGAATTCATACAATGTTGAAGGTTAACATTGTTGAGAGAAGGAATTGTCAAAGGAGGAATTGTCAGAGAATCAGGTAAGAGTGGCAAGCAGGATCATGACATCAAGACAGAGTTCAAGAAGGAAGATGTCAGCGGTTTTGAATGCTGCTGAGGACTCAAACAAGAGAGGACTTAAAATGAACATTAGATTTAGTGACAGATTGGTTGCCATTACTAGGGAAGTTTTAGACAAATCAGTTTGGGGTTGTCTGGGAGCGGGTAGGAGGTGAAGAAATGGAGATAGTGCTGGCAGTTCTTTAAAGTGGTTTGCAGGGAAGGAAGCAGAGAGAATAGCTAGAGAAAGACTCTGGTTCAGAGGATGTGTTGTGTGTGTGTGTGTGTGTGTGTGTGTGTGTGTGTGTGTGTGTGTGTTTGAAATTGAAGATACCTGAACATGTTTAAATCTTGGTAGAAGGAAACCACTGGAGAGGGGAGAGGATAACTGATAGTATAATGCCCCTGAAGAGCCATCCATAGGACAGATAGAGGAATGCAAAAGTGGGGAGGCAGGAGGTAAGGGAAGATGGTGGGTGTAGATGCAGTGGGTTTGTTGATTTGGTGGCAGGAGGTTGAGGAAATTCTCATCTGAAGCAGGAGGGCAGGGTCTTATACAGGTAGTAGTTGAGCTCAGGGATTTGAGAAGAGGGAGAAAATTTGAAATAGTTGTGGAGAATGGGAGAGTAAGCTCACCAGGAAAATAATAAGATTGCTGCCCATTTGGGGTTGAAAACCATGAGTTCAATAGCCTTAATACTACTCTATTTTACGTGTAATTTTATTTTAATTTTTAATTTAATTTTATTTTTAATTAGTTTCAGGTGTACAACACAGTGCAGTAGTTATACTTTTTACCCCTGAGAGTGACAACCCCCCTCCCCCAATCCGCCACCCTCCCCCCCCATATCATACATATCTATTACAATTCCATTGACTCGACTCCCACACTATACTCCACATCCCGTGACTATATATATATTCAATTATAGTTGACATACAATATAACACAACATCAGCTTCAGGTGTACAGTGCAGTGATCAAGCCTCTACACCGTCCATGAAGCAGTCTCCCTAACAAGACATGTGACCATCTGACACTCTACAAAATATTTACAACATTATTAATTATATTCCCCAAACAGTCTTTCATATCCGTGTGGCAATATTGTAGTTATCTATTTATGCTGTCTATTCCTTTCCCCTTCTCCCTCATACCCACCCCACCCCCAACTAGCAACCATCAGTTATTCCTCTATATCTCTGAGACTATTTCTGTTTACTTTGCTCGTTCATTCAGTGTTTTAGATTCCACATATAAGTGAGATCACATGGTATTTGTTTTTCTCTGACTTACTTATTTCACTTAATATAATAGTCTCTAGGTCCATCCATATCATTGCAAATGGTACAATTTCATTCTTCTTTATAGCGGAGTAATACTCCATTGTATAAATGTACCACAGTTTCTTAATCTAGTTGTCTACCGATGGGCATTTCAGTTGTTTCCAAATCTTGGCTATTGTAAATAGCGCTGCAATAAACATAGGGGTGCGTATATTTTTTCGAATTAGCGTCTTGGGTTTCTCTGAATAGATACCCAAGAGTGGAATTGCTGGGTCATATGGTAGTTCTATTTCCAGTTTTTTGAGATACCGCCATACTGATTTCCATAGTGGGTGCACCAATCTGCAGTCCCACCAACAGTGCACCAGGGTTCCCTTTTCTCCACAACCTCTCCAGCACTTACGTGTAATTTTATTCAGTATTATTCATTGTCCTTGCTGCAGGCGTAGAGGAGACAAAATTGGTTTTGTCTGATACTGGCATTTACTAAACAGATACAGCAAAAGGAAAAAGGAACAAGGGGATTTCGGGTATTGGTATTGGGGACCAATAGTTAAAAATGAGAAACCTGATTCTAGGTTGAATAGGATGTGATATGAAGGCTGATTGAAAGAGAGAAAGTAGTCTGGAGATCTCAGTGGAATAACAGGAGTGGTGCGAGTAATCGAGGAAGAGGGTAAGCTGGGAGGATAGGATGTCAGAGTTAATTATTTCAGAGCAGTTTTGAACACGGACAAGGTCAAGTGTATGGCCAGCTACTCTAGTAGATGGCTGAAGTGGAGTAGAGAAAGTCATTGAAGTGAGGCATCAGGGTGAGGGATGGGTTCTTCCCTTTGAGTGCTGAACATACACAGAATGGTAGAGAAGAAGGCTCTTGAGTCAGGCGCCAAAGTCTTCAGTTTACAACATGGATGTGAGTAGAAGATGATGATTATTATATGAATGAGTAGTATAGTATGGTACACCAAATTACCTTGAGTCTCAAAGGAACAAGGGTTTTTACGACGGGGCAGAGAAGGAACAGCTGAGAGATAGTGGTGGGAATCAAAGAGGATGCCAAGTCAACATTCTGATCTTGATGAGATGTGGGAAGACAAACAGCTGTCTCTTGAGAGGGGCATGGTGGCTTTGGGAGTTCCAGGTAACACATTGCAAAGGCTTAGAAGGAGAATGGGAGTGAGCACAATTGTATTATGGGGGGGAAAGGAAGCACTGGCTATGAGAGTGAAGATGAAATATGGGAGGTGCTTATATCTTTGACAGTGACTAGAGAAAGAGGAATGTAAGGTGTTAATGGATGTAATTCTGGCGTGGATGCAGAGGTTTCTGGGGAGGTCTGTGTGGACAGGAGCAATTTTGAGAAGCAGCAACTCAGCTGCTGGTCCAGTGTTGGGATAGGAGGTTATAGTGAATGACACCAAGTGTAGCAAGAAGGATGAATGGGGCAGCCACTGACCTTCCATTCCTGCCTTTCTTCCCTAGGAGGCTCAGGGCCTCGTGGCATCCCAATTTGGCTGAAATTTAACTATGTGGGTTTGTTTTGTAGCTGATCTGGTACTGACTCACATATAGACACACAATTCTAGCTTTGGAGCTTAAATGGACAGTGATGCTCTTGACTGAAAGGAGTATAAGGTAAGGGATAGGTATCTGTGAAAACTCGAGGTTGAGAAGCTCGATAGGAGGGGGGCGTGCATGAGTTACAGTTTTGGGAGTTACCTTTGTATAGAATTGAAGAAGATAGTATGTAGATTGAAAAAAGAAGGGCAGAGGATTGAACTCTGGGAAATACCCAGGAGAAAAAGGGAACAATTAAGCTGATTGCATCAGATAATGTATATAAAACACTTTCATGTGTAAAACATTTAAAAATGTTTAATAACTTAAAAAGTCTTTTATTATAGCTCTAAAAATGAGTCCTGAGTAGCTTAGGTTTACCTTTTTAAACATTAGAACTTTTTAAATGAAAATCTTCCTGAATTCTATTACGTGTACCCCTCTTTCCTTAAAAGTATACTAAGTATTAGTAAACCTTTTATTTTTCCATTTTTATTTATTTTTTATAATTTAATTTAATTTTTTTAATGTTAGTTTCAGGTGTACACAGCATCATAATGATTAGACATTTACACCCCTCACAAAGTGATAAACCTCCCCAAGTCTACTACCCATCTGACATCATATATAGCTGTTACAATACCATTGGCTATATTCCCTATGCTGTACTTTACGTCCCATAAGTCTATCTATCTATCTATCTATCTAGCTTATATATATTTAATTATAGTTAACTTTCAGTATTATTCTACATCAGCTCTGGGTGTACAGTGCAGGGATAAGAAATCTACACAATCTATGAAGTGATCCCCCTGATAAGTCTGTATGACTCAGGATAGTTATTGTAAATATCACTTATTGAATTTTAATTAATAAATCCTTCAATTTGTTGAGTATAAAGAACTAGGCAACTTTACCCTGTATGGACCCAAATTGCCATACACTTGGAATTCTTGAAGTGTTCATTATATTCTATAGTTTCTCCCTACCCCTGCCCATTGTCAGCTGTCACTTCATATATCCATTATATTTAGAAACCAGATAAATTGTATTTGAAATAAAAAATGAATGGGCTTAAAATATGGGCCAGGAGAGGTTCTCTTCATTCAGAAATTTTGGTGTATGGACTTTGGGCTATTTGTTTTGTCTGTTAACAGGTAACCTTTGCTTTCTGTCTGGTTCTTGATTGAATTCTGTGTAGATATCAAATAGTTGAAACTTTAATATAATATAGATTGGTTCCGTAGATACTGAAGGATCTAGAGCAGAGGAGAAGGCTGAGTGAGGTGGACATTTTTTCTCTCCAGAGTATTAAAATGTATCCTTCCTCTGACTCCATCCAGTCTTACCAGCCCTATTTCCACTCATCTCCCTTCTCCCCACCAAATCTAAATAGGCTCTCCTACCACCCAGATTCTCTGTATAATCAGCTATAATTTTTTCTACACATTCTCTGTACTTTCCTTCCTCTCAGTCCTCCTTTCCTTTTCTACCTGGTGAAAGAAATCCTCATTCTTCACAATACAACTCAATGTGGCCCCATCCTCAGGCAGACTAAATCATTCCCTCCTATGTTTCCCAAAGCATTGCATGCATAACATCCTTCACACAATTTAAGTTACTATACTTGTATTACTGGCCCACCTGATAGAATTTGCCAGTAAGCTAAATTTTTCTCAGGGTTTAATGTACATCAGAATCTCTTTAATATAAAAAATTAAGATCCCCAGAAAGTTTGGTTCAGTAGATTTGGGGTTGAGCCTAGGAATCTTCATTTTTATTATTATCATTATTTTATAAGTACATTGGTTAATTCTAATACAGGTTGTCCAAGGACCATACTTTGAGAAACCAAGGGCCAACTAGTGAGTGAATTCCTTCAGGGCAAGAGTTGTAACTAACCCACCTTTGTATTTTCAGGGCCTGTCATGTAGATGGTGCTAAATGAATGTTTCAAAAATGAGCAGAGTTTAATGGGGACGGCCTTTCAGTATGTAGTGTTTGAGTTAAGACTCAAATTCTTGGCAGAGCCTTAAGAGAGCTTTTAATAAAGGTGTAAAAAATAGCATAAGACAGTATTTTTCAAGTTGTTTCCAAAACACTACTGCTAGGACATGCTTTGTGGGAAGATGGTTTTGGGTGGTTAAAAACTTCTGGAAAATGCTGCCTATTGGACCTGCACCCTTCACCCTTCTCTAGGCAGACCAGCATATTCAAGCTTCTGAGAAGCTCTGCAAAAGCCGTTTAGTTCTAGATATTTAAAACGTTTTGACTAAGTGTTCCCCCCTTACCCTCTTTTCCCAGATAATACCTTCTCATATCCTGCAGAACTAATGCTCTGAAGTATTATCTTTAGGAACCGCTCACATAAGCAAAAGTAGAGCTATGGGGATTGGCAATTTATGGTGGTTGGCGATTTATACTTACCTGGAATTGAAGAGGCCCTGCTGGAAATTAATAAGAATAAAGAAATTTGGGGATATTGAGGCAGAGACATTTTTTCATAGTAGACTATAGATTTTTATTGTTTATAATTGTTCTTAATTGTCATGATCATAAGTATTAGAATGACTGAATAGTGAGAAGTAATAGGCGTAGCATGAACTATAGCTGATAGGTTTGAAAATGCAAGACTTAGAAGGTAGTTAAAATGGCTGTTGAAATGCAAAAGAAGGTATTAAGTGCAAGACTAGCTGAAGGATCTGTTGGACCTGGCAGCTAATTAAATCTGGGGAAAAGGACTAGATATTGATAATTCAGAGCTCTAAGTGGCCTGCATATTATTTGGGTAAGTATTCTAAGGTGTGTGGGGGGGAACCATATTATTGACAATTGAAAAGATGTACTACAGCAGGGAGTAGTTTCTATAGGTTTTTAAAATTTGATTTTGTTTATTTTGTTTGCTTTTTATATTTTCTCCTAGTTGGGTAAAATTTATTATAATGAGGTTTCCTTCTATCTGGAAAGTCTCTGTATAGAAATCATTAACTTAGATTGAAATCATAGGCAAAAAAATTATGACAAAAGTTTTCCTGGAAAAATTTGATTGTCCTCTTTAACTGAGGAGCTGCATGACAAGTGGTCAGCTCAGTGATTCAATTTGAGAGACTTGTTTATCAGACACTATTTAGTGCTGACAAAGCTAGATGCACCTTTATATTACAATGCATTTTATTTAGACAGTGGGAAAATTCTTTAATGCTACATCATATTATAAAGCAGTTATATTAGACCTTGAGAATGATAGAATGTTTATACTTGATTTAAATTAGAAAACCTAATTTTATCACTCATTTATACTACAGGGCTTAAAATAATTATCAAGGAGATTTTATTGTAAATTGAAGAAAAAAAAATTTTTTTTTTAAAATGTATATCCAGTGAGCAGAGAAAGTGTCTTAAGTTTGGAGAGTTAAGATTCTGCCACTGAACCAATTTCCTGAAAAAATAAGGTAGTACTTTTGGATGACAGAAATGGATATCAGAAAGGTAGATAAAAACAGAAATGTTTCAGATAGGACCTTAATATTTCTTCCTTTTTATTGTGTTTTCAGACAAATGACCATGGAAACAATTGAGTCTCATCAGGATGGACGTGTAACAGATTCCATGGCAGAGGGCGGATCTGCTCATATGCAGACCCAGACTGGTCAAAATTCAATCCCTACTTTAGCTCAGGTAAATTCAATGTAGACAGTAGGCAGGCACTGATGGAAGTTAAACTATATGGAAATGATAATCGTGTAGATTCTGTTTTCTTGCAATTTAAGTTTCCCTTGTTCCCTGGTTATGAGCCATTCTTTCTTACTGATTTAATTTCGAAGAGAATCTACGTATTTGAATTACGTTTGCATTGTAACAGACCCTTTGCAGTGCTCCCTCCACAACTGTGCAAAGGAAAACTAAAAACCTCTCCACAATACTTAATCCTCAGATTATTATTTGAGAAGGTTGGTAATTCCAAATTGCTATAGTTTTATACTCGTAGCTATAAATATGGCAGAAGTCTTACCTTTCGCCCAGAATATATTTGGTTTGATCTTTTCTTGCTTTGTAGTTAGGTCTTAAACTTTGAATTGGTTTTCATTAGAGAGCACCAGTATGAGTTAGTGTCAGCTCCTAAAATTTATTTCTGAGATATCTATACAAATATTTGGTAAAAACACATTTATTTGTTTAGCTCATGAAATATTTATTGAGTACTCCCTGTATCTAGGCACTGTTCTAGATGCATGGGGATATGTGATTCCTGGCCTTAAATATTTCAATGGTTTAGTGGGGCAGATGGGTATTTGAATGGTAATTTCAGTAGTGTAAAAAGTGCCATAAAATGACTAAGTCGTGCAGAGGGAGGGAGCAGCCAGTTGACTAGGAGTGCAAACGATTTTACTTTTGAGCTAGACATAAAGGATGCGTAGGAGTCTAGGCCAGGAAAAGTGTGCAGTCAGAGAACTAGAGGTGTCAAGGCTACTGGATCCTAGTGTTGGGGCTGGGAAGTGGAGCTGGTCAAGGTCAGCAGAGGGTTTTATGCATTTGAGAGTGTAGAGTATCCTGTATTCTAAATAGTCTTGAAATATTTTCCGGTGTTCGCTCTGTTTAGAGCATTAGCTCTGTGGAAGTTGGACTGGCAGTGGAGTCATGGTAGTGTGAGGAGAACAGAGCCGCAGTGAGATCTCCACAGTGTTGTGGAGAAGACAAAGGGTTGGTCGATGGCTGACTGAAGGCCTGGGGGGGGGGGGGGGGAGGGCATGCCAGGCACTTCCTGGGTTGTCTCAGGCCAGATTGGTTCCCATAAGGGCTCTTCTCTCCCAAGACTGGGCCCCAAGCACCCAGCCTGCTTTTCTTCTTTGAAGCTCCTGACACCCACTCGCTCCCCTGGGGTTTTCTCCTTCCAAGTCTTCTGTGGAGCTGCATCTCCCTGGCAACAACCCTCCTTTGTTACCCTGATAGACAGGCATGCAGACCTTTGCTATTAAGAAGAAAAAAAAAGGGCAGCCTTTTTCTTATTAAAAAAAATAAATAAATGCATGTTCGTTGTAGAAAATTAATTAAATATATGTTATTATAAAGAAGAAAATAAAAACTATCCATCATCTTATGGAGAAATATAATCATTGTTAGCATTTTGGTGTATATGCTTTACTCTTTTTGTCTGTGTGAATGGAATAGAATGTACGTATATTTTTTTCATGAATTTGGGATCTTCTGGAGTTTTTATAACTATGTCTTGGTCTGTAATTCTGCCCTTTGCTGAAGTGGTAATCTAAAGCAAATCTCTCTTCTGCCTCACTTCCCTCCCTATAGGAACTGACTCACTGACCTTCACACATGCCTTTTCTCCCAGCCTTCTGGGCCTGCATAGTCAAAACAATAGCTCTCCATTGTCTAAAGATGATAATTTGCAATTCTGAGGACCTTCAGCCTGCGTGAGCCTCAGAAGTTGCTAAAGAGGTCAACCAATATGAAGTCTGAAAAATAACCTTGTCTGTATGAGGTTTTGGAATTGAATAGGAGTCCAATGAACAGAATCTAGATTTTAGTAGGTTAGAGAAGAAATAAGAGGGAGAGGCAGTAGAAAGTGGAGGTTTTAACTTCAAGAAATTTTTCTGTGAAATAACAGAGAAACATGGGACTGTGAGACAAAGAAGTAAGAACTGGGGTGTGGGAAAGTTGGGAGTGTTTTGAATGAAATGGAAGAGGGAGATAGAGACTTGTGAGAAGGCTGAACCACAGAACTAGAAAAAGCCTGTGGCTTCCATTCATAATGCTTACTTTTTCCAGACTCAAATATATCAAATGCTGATATTTATTAAATCAGCATAGCAAGTTCATAGACTTGCTATGTTATTCTATTTTATATATTTGAAATTTGATCTAAAAATAAACTACGGTTTTTATCTTTCACATACTAGGCATGTTAAGAGATTAAGAAGTACGCTGTATGTGGGTTTATTGATTATTTTGGTTAACTAATAGTTACCCTCTATGCCATGCCTGGATCATGATTTTTCAAAGAATTAGGACACAATTCTCAGTCAGAATTTTCTAAATACGATTACTAATTTATATTTTTGTGGTGCCTGAATGGTACATTTATGGGTATTCATTATTATGCAATAATGTATAATAGAAGGATTAGGAAATCAAGCTGAAATCTTTATTAAACCTATAATGTATGCTAAAAGTGATTGGCTCGTCTGAATAATTCCTGATACCATTGTATTTACTTGCCGCTTGTTTCATTTTCTTCAAACTTAGAGGACTGTAAATTCATAGATGTTTTAGACTTAATTCAGTTTTGTATAAAGAGGAATTTGTAACACTTACTTTCCTATTTACATGGTCAAATTATTAGTGTGGGGACAGAAAATGTGACCAAAAGATTCAGTTGGTTTGATCCCTTGCATCTGGTCATTTGACACTAGTAATTTTGAGTCCCCTGCTTTCCAAAGCATCTGGTAGTCAAGTTTACTCTAAAAATCATCCCATTTACAAAGATCTGAAAACTTGAGCTTGCTCTTGGCCCTCAGGCCTTTCTGTTCTGCTGATTGAGGGGGCAGTAGTGCACCAAGGGAAGCTGGAGTTTTCAGCGTCCAGTTTTTTTTTCTTAAGGATTTTATTGGGGAACAGTGTGTTTTTCCAGGAACCATCAGCTCCAAGTCAAGTAGTTGTCTTCAATCTAGTTGTGGAAGGCGCAGCTCCGTGGACCATGTGGGGATTGAACCAGCGACCTTGGTGTTAAGAGCCTGTGCTCTAACCACCTGAGCTAATTGGAAGCCCCTCAGTTTCCAGTTTTTCTAATTTATAACTTCCCAGATATAAATGGAGCCTTCCACTTCTATCTGTATTCAAAAGTAAATAGAAGTCACCCTGGTGATAATGTCAAAGAACTGGAAGCAGGAGTTGCCATAAACAACCCTTGGGTGGCAGACAGTTGAGGTTAAATATTGTGACTTGGCTTTCTTTTCTAAGGTTCTTTTGTTTTGTTTTTTAATGTTGATTTAATTTTAATTGAAATTAGTATCTTGTTTGTTTAGTGTGTGTGATAGACCCCATCTCTCTTTCCCCTGGAAAAACTCTTGGCAATAAATTAATCAGTCTATTTTAAATAACGAAACCAGGAGGAAACCCTTTCCAAAAACCAAAATGGTGAAAAGTAAAATTACTATATATACAAGTAGTTTTAAAATAGTTACATTTACATCCTCTGGAAGTAATATAATCTTCAAATGGGTAATGGGAAGTTAAAATTTCTTTTGTGATTAAAGATTTCAAACACACAAGAGAATGATGGTCCCTCATATATATATAAACTTAATAATTTTTAAGATTTTTGTAGCACTTGCCTCATCTGTCTTTTTTTTTCTTTTTGTTGAAGTATTTTAAGCAGCTCTGCAGATCTCAGACATCATGTCATTTCACTCCTACTTCTGGGTATGCAACTCTTAAAAGATTATGGACATTTTATTATGTAACTAAATGTCATCATACCTAATAAAATCAAGCATAATTCCTTGGCATAATATGCACTCCGTATTCATATTTCCCCATTTATCTCACAAATGTGTAATCTACTCTGAAAGCAACAGTAATAACACCCTGAACTTTTCTTGTTCCAAGTCTCTTGGGAATTGATAATGCTGCCATGAAGAGCTGGGTGGGCGAGGTAATCCAGATGGAGCCACTGGAAAGGATGTACTTTAAAACTAGTACTTTAAAGGAAGTGCTTTCAAACTTCATTCCTTGTCACTGCTGATGGAGCTGTGGCGTCTGTGTGACACCTCAACAATGAAAGCTAAATAACTCTCATTTATAAATGACTTACTCTCAAAGTTTCAGCAGAGAGAAAGGAAAGATGTAAGGAGTAGAATCACTAGTCTTAGAGCTGGAAGGAGATTCTGGAGATCAGCAGGGTCAGCATCATGCTTGGAGAGAATTAGTTCTAATATAAAATTTAACCTTTCAGAGGATGTGTGTAGTTTTGGAAACAAGATTCTAGGGAGCAGAGAAAGCCACTAGAGCCTGGTTCAGGGCTTATTAATCCCTTATCTTATTCTCTCTGTTCTGAATGCAAACAGTATATAAAGTACCTCAGAGTAGAGCAGCCTTGGCATGCAGTGGGGGATTGAAGTAGGGATTATTTAACAAGAGATATTTTAATGTATGAGTTGTATGTTTTCTGTTTCAGTCTGGTGGGAAATTGAAAGTACGTCTCGCTGTTCTGGCCAACTGTGCCAAAAATCCATCTTCTTGGTCCGAAATAGGACCAGGAAGGATGTGGATGGCTATCAGAAAACAAAACAAACCCAAGCAACATTTGCTATTGATATTGGGTCAGCAACATCATATTTGTATATTAAAGATGGTCTGCATTGTGTTAGGTTGATTTGGTATATTTACTGTCACCTGAGTAGATCAGTTTCAGCTGAGTTTAATCGAATCTTGTTTTTTAAATTTTAATATGCTAATTCCCTTACTTGAGGGACTCTTACTGAAGAAGAAAAATGTTCCTCTTAAGATTTTGAAATAAAAATTTACATTTTACTGTTGACTTTCTGTTGCTCCTTATTTTTATGTATTTCTTCCCCTGGCTCTTTTTCATTGCCCTAATTTAATGCTTTTTGAACATGATGTTTGTATTCACTTAGAATTAACTCTAAAAATGAACAAAAGTTGGA